CCGCACCACCAGCACCAGCGCGCCCGCCGCGTTATTCTCCCGCAGACGCGCGCTGTAGCGCTCCTGCGAGAACACCGGCGCGTTGTCGTTCACGTCCAGCACCCGCAGCGCCAGCACCCTGCTGCTCTGCAGCGCCGGCCACCCGCCGTCGGACGCCCGCACCGTCACGTTGTACTCCGACTGCTGCTCGCGGTCCAGCTCTCTCGCTGTCACCACGCGGTAGTAGCTGCCCTGCGATCTCTCCAGGAGGAACGGGACATTCCCGTCAAGGGAGCAGCGCACCTCGCCGTTGGCACCCGAGTCCTGGTCCTGTACGTGTAGCAGGGCAACAACAGTCCCCGTCGGGGAGTCCTCAGAGACCTCACTAAGCTGAGAAGTCACTGTCAGTTTAGGTGCATTGTCGTTTATGTCTGTTACAGTGATCTCGACCTTTGCCGTATCGTAAAGTTGTCCTCCGTCCCGTGCTTGCACCTCCATCTCGTAGGCGTTACCTTCCTCAAAGTCCAGGCTTCTCATTAGCGTGATCTCTCCTGTTTCAGAATCCAGATGGAAAATATCCAATGCCATGTCCGTCTCTTTCTTCAGTGAGTATCTGACGTTCCCGTTCATACCCTCGTCGGCGTCTGTGGCCGTGACGGTGATGAGGGTGGAGCCCACGGGCACGTCCTCTGGCACACGCACTGTGTACTCCGCCTGGCTGAACACGGGCGCGTTGTCGTTCGCGTCCACCACCGTCACGCGGATCCGCGCCGTGCCCGTCCGGGCCGGATCGCCACCGTCGATCGCCCTCAGCACCAGCTCGTGGAACGCCGCCTCCTCCCGGTCCAGCGCCTTCGCCAGCACCAGCTCGGGACGCTGATCCCCGCCGGGGCCCGTCTGCACGGCCAGTGAGAAGTGCTCGTCGCCGCTCAGCTCGTAGCTCTGCAGGGAATTCTGTCCAGAGTCCGGATCGTGAGCCCTGGGAAGTGAAAAATGCGACCCTGGGGTATTCATCTCGCTTATTTTCTCTTCCACTTCAGTATCCTTGAACGTGGGGGAGTTGTCATTAATGTCCGTGATTTCCACATCAATTTCGTAAACTTTCATTTCCCCCTCCACTATCAGCTCACAGCGCAGCACGCATTTCTCCACCAGCCGGCACAGCTGCTCTCTGTCGATCCTCTCGGCCGTCACTAAATGTCCCGTCTTCCCATGCAGAGTGAAATACTGCGTCCTACCTCTGTCTATGATGCGGACGCCACGATCTGCGAGAGCCGGCAGCTGCAGCCCCAGGTCCTTGGCCACGTCGCCCACGAACGAGCCCTTGGGCATCTCCTCGGGCACCGAGTAGCGCAGCTGCCCCCACGCCGCCTCCCAGGCCGCCAGCAGGACGCCCCAGAGCAGGACTCGCTGCCGCCGGCCCCAGCGCCTCCCCGCAGAGCACATCTCCGCCGCCGCACCGCCGGCACCGCAACACTACCGGCTGATCCCCGCCGCCGATCCCGCTCACACTCCACCTTAAACCTGTCGCTCCCGGCCGCTACCGCCGGCCCCTCTGCCTCGCTATATCACGGCTCCGCACTGCCGGGATGTTTGGAAACAGACCGCTGCCCTAGCCAGGAATCCAGCGATCGAGCCGGTCCGCAGCGGGCGGGGCTGCAGCGCTCCGACCTTCCTCTCGCTCCTCTCGGTCAACAGCGGCGCCCGCAGCCTCCTCCCGGCACTGCAGCGTTGCCGAGACATGCTCGCCCTGCCTCGCCCACGGGAAGCTCAAAAAGATGTCACATTCTCTACGAAAATGTCAGGTCCAGTATAGCGAGACCTGGTGTTAATTTCTTTCTACCGCGCGGGAAAATATTTATGTGATTGTGATAATCTCTAGATACAAAGTTCTCTTAATGTGGCGTGCAGAGTATTCCGAATCTACTCATCTATGGCAGGAAAGCACAGCATCTTCCGTGCAAATGCACACTTTTTTATGTCATTCATTCTCTAGTTTTTCCTCACTGAGCGTCAACACTGAAACCCCTCCAGCCACAGTAGATTCCCAGACTGATAGAAATTGAACATAGCAGCGAAGAAGATTCCTCCTCAAAAGGAGGGATTCTAGGGACTGCCTTGCCCTCTTTGCCTTGTTAGATTGCCCCTGAACATCCGAAGCTGCTCTGAATCAGCCTGCGTGTCTTCCCTTTCCAACCACTTCTTTCGAATTTTTCATCATAGCCTTATGAAAGAGGTTGTGCTTATACAGCTTAGTGCTCCCTTCTTGATAACAGCCTTACCGATAGACCCTATTGACTAAGGAATATATAAATTTTGGGGAAAAAAAAAAAAAAAGAAACGCAGGTTAAAAGCAAAACCAAACCAACCAACCAATCATCAAACAAACTACAAACCCCACGCCATTTCTCTCTTAAAACTCATTCAGTGTCTGCAGACAAGACAGTTGAGGATTGGTAAACAAGAGGGCACTACCACACATGATGGAACCCTTCATAATATATGACCGTAGAAAGAGAACAAATAAACAAAGCTCTGATAAAGTCAGAGACCGATTGGAGATCGATCAAGTGGTCTCACTATTGTAGCCATTTATGCAGCCTTCTTACACTAAAAGATGGGAGGATACAGGGTGAAAGACACATATATTTGTAATGGAAGAAAGTTTTTCCTTCATCAACACGTTTCCTTAAAAGCAGTGAAATGAAAAAGATCGCAGTGTATGTATTCGGCAAACCAAAATCAGGAAGGAAAAATCTCATCACTGAGAGTCAGTCATACTCCAAGCTCTGCCATGCAGAACTAGTGGATCCCCTTTCCAAAAGTAAGGGTCTGCTTTCACCGTTACTAACCCGTATTACTTCACACAACACAACATTTGAAGAAAATCATGAACCTGAACATTTGATGAAAAAAGGGATGATGTCACTACACTACTACTCCGAGAGGAAAATTTATTAAAAAAACCCCTGAAAGCCGACCTTTATAAGTCCTACGGTTTCATGCAGCATAAGCTGAACAAGAGCCTCCCAACGGAGCCGACATCAGTGACAGCTCATGAGGCAGGAAGGGCTGGTTCACAATGTCTGCTGCCTAAAACGGGGCACAGTTATTATCCTCGCCTGTAAAAACAGAGACCAGCACTAGCTGAACCAGAACAGACACAAATCCCAAGAGCCCACTGCCACCTGCGCACCCTTACGAAAAGCTCAGAGAGGAGTGAAGGGGCTTACAGACCTGCAGTGCATCGGGGTCGGTGGGCGGCTCTCCCGCGACGGCGCTGCTGCTCGGGCTCGGCTTGTCGCAGGGCTCCCCGGCCAGAAGCTCCTCGGCGGGCAGGATGGGCAGCGGCGGCCAAGCGGCCTCGGCAGCGGTACGGGGCGGCGCGGCCACGCACAGGTTGTAGGAGTAGGGCAAGGTGCCCTCGCAGAAGTCGGGCGGGAAGGCGGCGCCGGCCAGCGAGAAGCGCTGCGCGCCCAGGCAGCGCAGCACGGCGGGCGGCCCGGCCCGGCGCAGCCGCGCCAGCACGGCCAGCGCCACGCTGAGCACGAAGAGCGCCGACAGCAGCGC